AGTACTCATAGTCAGTTAATGCATCAATATCAGGTTACTTAGGTCTGTGGTCACTATAAGGTCATGCATTGAATAAGATATCTAACAAATCGTTTCCTAGCTTCTAATAAATTACTATCTACTTTTCTATGCACGCTTATATTTGTAATAGTTTCATTGTACACTGTTGTATTTATTTCCTGAATATATGACCCGCCTGCATAGCTAACTGTGGGTGTGATTTTATTTATTGTATCTCGAACTATGAAAACAAAACAAGATAAAATGTATACATGTACAAGTATGCTACGTGTGTATTTCACCTTCTACAATAAGATTTAGAAAAATATAATAGCAATCTTCAGTGGTATTTTTAATTCAACGTACAACCAATCAAGTGTGTTATAAACTGCATGCATTGATCAGCAATATAGCATTGAGAGTAGTATACACTGTACCTGTTAAAAATGCTCCAATTTCAAAGCTCCACCATTCAATACAGATCATGGCCATTCCTGACACCGCAAGTTTAATAAATTGTGACCAGTTCAACAAGCTTTCTATTGTCCAACCTAAATAGCAGAAAATCAACAGCTGTATTAAATAAACATCATTTTTTCATGACCATGCACTGCAGGGTCTGAAATGGGCTTGTATTGTTCTGTGATTGGATTTCACTTTGAATGCCTAATAAAGGAAAGATGGCTGTCCAATAGACAACCTACATAGACTTCAAAAAAATTAATACTTTCAGACCCTAACGCAGACTTAGGCAAAACTTTAGGTAAATAAGCCCGTGCACTACAAGCCAACGTGGCCCACCCCACTAGAGTTTATTCCATTTTCCATAGAATAAGGCACCAACAGGAGTAATACTATAGTACATGTACATGTGTGTCCCATAGTGGAGTAGTGTCATATAAGTTAATTGAAGACAGTCTAAACTATGTCATGACAAAAAAATACTGGTAAGAGTATGAATCTGCCAAAATGGATATCAGATTAAAAAAGTCCTAAAATGCCATCAGTTTTAAATGCAAAACAGAGGATAGCAAGCCACAGATGGCAATAAAATCATTGGGTAAATAATTAACACCAGTATTAAAAATGCATTATAATGTAATTTACAAAATAACTACGATAGTATGCGCGCTCTGATTGGCAGAGAGGCATGTTTGCATGAGGGAATGTGAACATGGTAATTATAACATTAAGATGTTTTTCTTTTCAGTCGTGCTAATCAAGTAAGGATGAATTTGAAAAAAGTTTTTGAGTTGAAAACACAACAAGTTTACTATTAATATTTACCCATTTCGCCATCGGCTGAGACTTGGAAAATCTTTACAAACCTGCTGTTGCAATTTTTTTTCACTTAAGCTGACATTTTAAGAATGAGTGATTTAAGAGGAAAACTATCATCACTAAAATAACAACTATTAATACGTATGCAAGACTTCGTGAAAAAAACTTTGCAACTTGTAAGAATTTCTCTTTTAATCAGTGCCATAACAAAGAGTTCTGCGATCTTTCTTTAGGAAGTTATAGCCAAATTCATTGTGTCGCACTGCATGTTTTGCAAACTTCAAAGGAAATTGGGGTTTTTCTGTTCCATCAATCATCTTAGCGGACCTCTTTGGAAACAAATGTTTCCTTGTGATTACTGCATTTTGATCCACTTTGTTTGTTTCTGTGTTTCAAGTTTCACTGCTTGTGATTGAACTGTCTCGGGCAATGATGGGCTATTTTTCTTCAAAGCTTTTTATGATCTTTCCTATTCTTGTCTCCTGCAAGAATAGAGCAATGTCTGCCTCCTGCCCTCAACAAAAATTCCACTCATGATTGCGATTTCCTTCGCTATTCTTGAGCAGTTTAGGGTCATTCTCAATTTTGTTTTTACGGGCCAAGCTGGGTGAGTACATAGCCTGAATGTCTGAATCGACCGGCCGTAAATGCCGTCCAGTGACGTCACTCACTACCCGAAAACCGGGTAGTGATTTTGATTGGTTGATTGTCTAAACATTCGCATAATTATGTATAATTATGAAAAATTTTAGCAGGATTGTCGCTTGATATTCAGCGGATCGCATCCCCGGCATTCTTTCGTTTAGTTCAAACCTTTCGATAAGCTTAATCTTTATATTAAACGGCAAAATTGCCCTTGTCCTCGAAACTGAAATGCTAAATTGAACTGCGAATGAAGAATCATTGCAGAGAGTCGGTAGGTTTTTCATTTAGAGCCGCTTTGTGGTTTCGCCGGCCGGTGATTTTGTTTATGCGAAGTTTTCGTCAATGTTATGAATTCAGTTACTCGACCTTCTTGCTATTTTTACCGTCAAGTGTAATGATTCTGTTAGCTTTTCTTTCTTGTCTCCATGTTTTTTTTCTTCGCTAAAGGACCAAATAGCTTTTTTTCAATTAAAGCAAATCATTGTGTTTTTGAACTGTGATCCGTGTGTGTGTTAATTTCATTCCGTGATTGCGACTGAGTTTGTTTATAGAATTTAGTACACCTGGTTCGGAGTTGTACTGCATGCAGTTTACGTTGATAGTTTGAACGTTAAACATGAATTACAATCGAAAAAAATAAAGCAGTACCGTATCATGCAGACATTTCCAAACGATATTTCTCGGTTTGCTACTTGAAAATTGTGTTTTACTTTTTGCATGAATTAAAGCAAAGGTCAAGGAGTAGTGACGTCACTGGACGGCATTAACGGCCGGTCGATTCAGACATTACTGAGGGAGTAATAACGACTCGAAGTAATCGGATGAAATTTAGGCTAGGCGAGTGCATTGCATTGTGATTTGCATTAACTCCCACTCAAATGATTGATGGAACAGAAAAACCCATTCAAAGTATTGCAAACACGCAGCGCGATACAATGAATTTGGCTATAATTTTATATAAAAGCAATAGAAGACTTTTTTCCTGTATTTGCATAGCCTATTGTAAACACTTGAGGGGTTGGGATAACTCTCAACATTCATGAAAACCCTTGACTTTTGTCTTGGAAAACATTTTTTATTGCTTAAATACATGTTGATCAAAGCTTTAAAGTAAGGACCTTGAATAAAAAAATTCACCTGGCCAAGTTTTTGTATGGAGCTTGAAGACCTTCATGTAAGTTAACAGCAAACTTGTTAAGATGCATGCCGTTAGAGCCCAGCTAATGGCCACTCCCCTGTAAAATGTAAATGAGAAATATTGTCACTAAATCTTTGATTATTATGATTGAACACTAATTTATAGTCTGTAGAGGCATCACTTTGAAATTACATCTACGATGATGTCATAATTCACCTTTTCACTACCTACTTCTGGAAACTGGTTTTCTCACAGGTAGCCCAAGCTCAGTATGGGTGTTTAATCATTTTAATGACAATGTGACCTAGGTTCAATGGTCGTCATGTCATGGTGAGTTTGTACATAGATGTCTACCAGGGTTGGACCGTTAAAATATCGGGGAAGCAAAACTGCCATGTGGCTTTTGCTCGCAGGGACACGATTGCTTGGCGTAGGGAGCTAAATTGACAGAGTAACCTTTGCAGTTGGATTCTGCGATGGAATTTTGGCTGTGGGATGATTTTAACCAAGAATTTTTGGCTTTGTTCAGCGGGCTGTCCAGATCACAAGTGTTTGGCCTTGTCCTCTTTTTATAAATGGAAACTCAGGATAAAGGAAATCGCTTAAATAGCAATGGATTGGGAAAATAACCACACAGGAAACAAGAACACACCATGGTAAAGCGTTTTTTTTAATACAGAAATTTCTGCAAAGATTTAATATCTTCTTGAATCTAGTGTCTGAATTACCATACAAATCCTTAAATGGCCATTTTGAGGATTACACAATATGAGCTTGGGCTGCCTGTGGAAAAGCCAGAAAGCATTTTGATCAAGACTTTTTTTTCTTCCAATGAATAGTTATGACTGAGTGTTGCAGTCATGACACTGCTAGAGCTGTCTTGTCATACTTTGAGGAGTACAATCAAGTATCAGCAGAAACTCATAAAAGGGTTATAACCCATAACCCCTTATGAGTTTCTGGTATCAGTTCATAACTAAGCAATCAATAAAACGAGACATTAATAAACCACTATACAGGTTTGGTTATCTAAGTTTAACCAGTGTTCTAAGTCATTTTCAGTTTGCCCAGCGCTTTCATCGAAGCACCATTTGTCGCGAACAGTTTCATTAAAGCAATAGCATAATAGTGTAGACTAGAAAAGCATTTCTCTTCTTAAATTGACCCACGAAAGAAGAGATCTGGAGGTCCGAAGATTTCTAAAACCACAGTCTAAGTCAGACTTTGTTTAAATAACTGACCCACAACACCTAACTACAGGTCAAGTCCGGCTGTTAAGATTAAAGTTATTATTTACACGGCTAAGGATCTATAAAATTAGGATATTAAGTACATGTACAAGTACCTTAAATACACGTACTATGAATCTATGTTTACCTGAAACCTAGATTAAATACCAACACCATCAGAACATTAAGACCAATTTGTATCCCATTAGTAACAGCACAGACATAGAGTATTGGCTTCACAATGCCCTAAAAACAAAATTCCAAAGTTAGAATAAAAAGCTACACCTACAGTACATGTAGGAATTACATGTATAATCATTATGATTATATTCATTGTGCTTGGCTTAATTGTTTGATCTATCAGTAAATTAATGAAATAGCTGAGGGCAATTTTTGGCAATTAAAACCTATTAAAGTCTAGAAAAACCTTACATATCTTTCCAAAATAATTAGATCTGACTACACACATTAGTGCAGGGTGGTAAAGAGAAATATGAGACACCGGGTAATAGTATAGGAATATTTTAATAGTAATATTTGATCTGAAGTTTCTTCCAAAGCTATTTTATTGGTAAAGCATTAGCAATATATGTTATACTACTACATGAGAAATTTCTACAATTTGATTGGCTTAGAGCAGTGGTATTTCAGCTTAATTTGAAATACCTACATGTGAAAATTACAAACCTTGTAACGGTAGTACGTGATATTTGGCAAAAAAAACCACTCGTGATATTTCAAAATTGTCTCAGATTCCACTCGCCTGACAGCTCTTGAAATTACATATAACAATTTTGAAATATCACTTGTGGTATTTATGCCAAATATCACTACAAATCATGCTATTACCTATACTAAGACTGTGACAGCCCTGAAATATAATTTTGGCTATATTATTATTATTATTATTATTATTATTATTATTATTATTATTATTATTATTATTATTATTATTATTATTATTATTATTATTATTATTATTATTATTATTATTATGCCTATGTTATGTCTATGTTGTTATAACTTCTCACTGCAAAACAACTTAAAATAGTTCCCAGGTGGCTTTCCTTGACTTTAGTATCATTTGCCAGTGTATACAAGTATTGTTACAGATTAAAAATAATCTTGTTCAATTTATTCTACTTTACTTTGAACACACCTGTGTCTGAAGATATCTTTGTAACAAGATAAACAAAAAATTCCCCTGTTTATTTAATAAAGAAAAAAATAGCAAAAAGATGATTAATTAAAAGGATTTAAGTTTCTGTCCTTTAACTCATAGGTCATAATATATACAGTGTAATAATTTATTACGTAAGCCTCTAAGAAAAGGCTTCTGGCAAAGGAGATATAGTTATATATTATTGAAGTGAACAAATACAAAAAACTTCTGTTAATAGTAATAAAACTGAAGTCCGTGTACTAACTATTAAAGCAGGAATACATATGAGGACGAAGTCTTGGGTCAACCTATGAAAAGTTAAAACAAATTGAGTGTTAATAAAAAATTATGCCACACTATGTGATGCCATGTTGAACTCAACAATAATTATTGACCATTTTCGATATACATTGTATTGAAATTCAGACTTGGCAACGAGGCTTGGGGGAATAAAACCATGTTCTCACCAAGATCTGGGTAGTACTTCTGATTTGGTTGTGCCATGAAGGAAATTCACCACTATCAGTCAGAAGCACTACCCGGAACTGGGAAGTGATGTAATATATCATCACGGAATTTCTGTACTCGTTCCTTGGATGTCATTTTGCAGGGGACTATTGCTGCCGTCACCCAGTTCCCTTCTGTAAACAGTGGTTGCCATTTTTAACGGTCGATGCCACCACTGGTAACCAAGCCTTTGGTCATGATAGATACAATATATTCCCTGGATTACATGTAAGTTACAACAGGGCAAATATGAAGTACAACTAAGAAATGCTTGAGGAAAAAATCCGAGCCCCCAGCTGGAATCAAAACCCAATGCCACAACCTTCCAGATACTGGTCCCCAGTATTTTCTTAGTTGGACTTAATATCTATTTCATCACAATTGGGTGGTTGGTTAATAAGGCAAATGATATGTTTTTGAATAGTCTTAGAAAGAATGACATTGAAGCCCAAGTTGAATTGACGTTAAAAGTTATGGAAAGGGCTTGAGTCACCTGTTATTGATGTTATACAAACTGTATATCAAGCATGAGATGCAGTGTTGCATCACCAGATGAAGCACTTAGAAGAGAGTTGAAAATATGACGTTGCAGCGGAGTATTTTTAACGAACTTCAGGGTGTTTCATCTGGTGAAGGAACACTTTGTTGAATGCTTGATATTACTTCTCACACAAATGGATTTTAGAAGGAGAAATCAAAGATGCAAAAATGAACAGTTTTTCATCCGAACACCAAACACTCGTGAAACATTAATTTTTATAAATTATTAATGAGTTCGAGAAGTATCAGTTAAGAAAGACAGTTTGCTAGTTTATGTACTAAAAATTTTATGGAATTTTGGCGATATGGTGTGGTAGTGAAGTGGCAAGGGGGAGAGATTAGATACAAAAAGTCCAGGTTCAAACCTGGGTTGCAAACTTCTTTCTTCTTAATAGAAACACTCTTAAGAATGGCGGCAGCGAACATTTGCAAAAGGGAAATTTGCGGTGGCGTTGCCAAGTGTCAGCTGTTTCTTTAAATAAAACATACCTTGCAACAGTCTCTTCTTGTTGAACCAGCAACAAAAGCAACTCAGTATTAACCCATAGTGACGTCCGATTCTATGTTCAATTAGGATTTTAGGAAACTCCTCTTTGCAGCACTACACCAACAAGGCGATAGTTCCTCGCTCCAAATGCTTGAGAACAAAGTGTCTCTACTGCTGAACCCAAGCCAATAAACAGCGAAGGTCCTGTCACATTGATAAAAGATAAAGCTAATGTTCCAGCAGCCAATTCTAGTTTGCCAACGTGCCCAGCAAAAAACAAGCTGATCATGTGAATCATGTGGTAAAAGAAGTAAGATAACACGGTGGGCCAAGCTAGTGTAAACAGTTCTTTGATTTCTTTGCAGTAACTTCCTGAAAAAAGTCCACCATGACAATGACCAGGTTTTTCCTCTCTTGAGTGGCGAATGTGTATCTGGAATTCAGCAGCATGCTCAGATTCTTTGGATAAATCTGCATTATAAGGATGTGCTTGACCAGCCATCTGGATCATTCAGTTTGTCATCTGCAACTAGCAACTTCTATTTTCAATATAAGTTTGATTAAATGAAAAGATTACACATAATCCATTTGTTATTCAGCGGTATCATTGAATGAGGCTGAGTATGATGAATGTTGTGTAGTTGTAGTAAAGTGACATCATCATGCAATTGTCCTATTATGCAGATTGAGGAGACTGTTACCCACTGAGGCAAAGGCCAAGGTGGATAACAGCCTCAGAGATCTGCATAATTCTTCACATCATACATTGTATGAAAGCAGAATTCAATAATTATTTTATTATTCATTCATTTTCTGGGAGAGCATACCCCTAAACCCTTCTGGTTTGCAACACTTTCGGCACTCCAGCTTTTATTTCAGCGCAAACATCTTCAAAATTCCACACTACATGTAAATGTACGCCTCTAACAGACGTCTATGAGTTTGCAAGGAACAAACGATACCTGGGCAACTCAGACTGGGACCTCATCTGACACATTATGTACAGGGGCCAAATTAAGTACTTTTTCTCTGAGGGATGGAAGAAATGGCTATTTGTGGAAGGAACCAAAATATGATTGGAACCAAAATCATACACTATCAACTCCAAGTCATGTAGCTGTGTACATGGGTAAGGTACTGCTCATATGTGTACATACCGAAGAGTTGGTAGTGTTACTTCTTGCTGAAATTTTGTTTTAACCATGTAACATACTCTACAGAAATTTTCTGTACGTGTCAGTACAATAATTGAATTGGAACTGTCAAAAAGGCTAAGAAGCAGGAAAACAACAGGACATACAACTTAACAATAGGAGGGGGGAACTGATGGAGACATGGCCTCCTCTTCAATACATAACATGAAGGGCTTTGAAATTCTGACTAGAGAGGTCCCCCTCTTCCACCCATCCCTCATCTATATCTGAGGCCCTGTTAAGGTTAAATACCGACAAGTGACATGGGCTTGAAACAGTGACTTAAAACAAGATGAAAAGGTGACAGCCGACATAAAAATGGGTTAAATACCGACAAGAACATGACCAAATCTTCAAAACACAAATCGACCGCATTTGAAATTCAGACTAGGGATAAGGTACTTCCCCTCCCCCCCAACTCAGAAGACCTCATCTATGGCTAAACTTGTTCAAGGTTACCCAGTGCACCAAGAACAACCAATGCTCTTTCCTGCATCTATATAGTTACCAGAAAAAAGGTCTTCTTCAACTGACCCTGGGAAACCCCTTATTATTGGACTGGAACATACAATCCTGAAACTGCAATCATTTTCAAAAGTGTTGGGGAGGTTCCTACTTTTCACCTTTTTTCAATCCTTTTTCCCCACCAACACTTAAGTACATGTGCGTGTCATGCAGATCATGCGATGATACTCTAGAGAAAGTCTGTCTTTTTCAATATCATCTTCTTTACATGCATATGTATCCATTATTTAATGAAAAGAAAAAGGGTTTAATTCCTCTGTAATCTTAAATGGGAAACAAAACATACAAGCTAGACAGGTCTACATTGTTCCATGTCTTGACTCCTACTGTATCAATCAACATTAAGGAGGCCAGTGGGGCCAGTGGGTATTTTTAGCACAAGGGGAAAACCATCGTTTTTGAACATTAAAATGAGCTGCTGTTCCTGTTCGGGATTGTAGCCTAGAGCACTATTTTATGGTCTCCAAATGAAATATACCCGTCATCAGGCGGTCCCTCTTTCCTTTTTCTTTGCCAATCCGCTATAAACTTCCGCGCTCCCGAGAAAGAGAAGAACGCCTGATCGCAAATAAAAATACTGAAGTCACTTCCACATGCGGATCTCACTATTTTAAATGAAAATCGCATCCATCTTAATTCAATTTGAAATTTTTACCATTGGATGTTTTTAGCCCTTTGATAAACCAGTGGATAAACAAGTCGCAATTGAAAATTGCCGGGTAAACGAACCTACACTGAAGGGAAGGCCGCTTGACACATTTTACAAAGAACTCAAGATTGTCTTATGACGGTAATTAAGACTAACACAAAACAGTTTTCACCTACCCACGCAAGCTGCTAATCACCACAACACTGGCCAAAAAATGTGGATACCTTCAACGCGGCAAAATGTTTATCTTGCAAGATTTCTTCTTCTTCTCGTCGGCGTTTCTGTCCAAAAGTAGCGCTGAATCGCGACCGCGCTATTTTGAAAACCGAGAAGCCCCTGGGAACAAGGTTGGAGAGAACCGCAAGCTGAACCGCAAGCAGAGGCGTGACGGAAGGTGTGACAAGGCGTGACTAGAAGGATGAGGGGTTGTCTGGCTCGAAAACTACAAACAACAACAACAGCAACAACGTTTATTTGTACTGTAAAGAAATACATAGAATAGAATTGAAAAAATACACATGGCCAAAATACATGGCCACTCATACAAACCAGGAGCCCTAACAAACAAGAAAAGTTTGGCCAAGTCTAAAAATTCTTTTTATTGTAAATGCAAGATGTTCATGCAGCAAGACCATTTTTATCTTACTGGCATTCCGATTGTGCATATTCCAACTGTATCATCATCATGACATATAGTATTTAGCCGAGGGTAAAAATCCTCTATTAATTGGGGACACTGAAATAAAACTAATTCTAAAATAACAATACACAATCCGAAAGAAACTAGCCTAGATAAACATTATTAACTATAAAGCTAGCCCAGATGTACATTATATACTATAAAACTATTCTGTAAATGACAATAAAATGATATGGTTATTTACAATAAGATGATTCAGTTAGCTTTATGCACATTTATCTCCAAACCAAATCATCGACGACACGTCATCTACGCGTGACGAAGTCCCCAAATAAAATAGAGGCGAGGCAGGAAAAGCCGTCGTAAGCGTAAAAGTTGAAACCTCCTTCAATTTCTCGTTTGAGCTCGGCACTTTTTATCTTGCCTCTATTTTACCATTAATAAATTACCACAGGTATTTGTAGCCTGACGCTCCCTCTCTCCGTTTTTCCTTCGTCGGAAGGAGGGTGCGGCGCGGCTAGACGTAGGCTAAGGTATTTGGTGAAGTTTTTAATTCCACTTGGAAATTCTGAAAGGGACAAACAGTTAAATAGCAACTGAAAAAATGCTATTATCAACAATAAAAACATGAGAATTATAACAATTTCATAGAGTACTTTTCAGAGAAAGCTTTGTATTTGCACTGCCAGCCTCGTTCTCACCGCGAGGCTAGCCGTGCAAATACAAAGCTTTTTCAATCTCCTGGGACAAAATGGCCGACGCGTGACAAAGGTCTATTGCATCTATGATCTCGTTCAGTAAACTTAGTAACTTCCCATTCTTTGGAAAGGCTTTTGGTAAAAAAAAAAAAAAAGGCACTCTGCTCAGGAACTCTAAAATTAATAGTAAAAATTTATACCCTGTATTAGACTCAAGACCCAGAGCTTTTGACCCTTGGCTGTATTAGCCCACTTAGGCTAAATAAGGAAGAGTCCCGAGCCCTAGATCTGAGTGTAAACGCTAAAAGGAATCTGGTATCAGAGGCTTCTGGGGAAAAAATCGATTCTGGTATAAATGTAGCCTTAGGGCGGGTTCCATTTGTCAGAACTGAACGGCCAGGACATTCCCGTCTTAATGATAATTTCATTTTTTATGAAAGCTATTCAGCCAGATCAGTCACATCCTAAATAGCATGCGCAAAAGAAATAGCCGAAACTCTTGGAGAGAGGCCTACATCTCATTTTCAAAAAGACTGATCCGGCCATGGTCTGGCTGGCCAGTTCTGACTCTTGAAAAGCGCCCTTCGAGTGAAGTTTTACGTGCCATGACGATGTTTAACAAAATGAGCAGTTGCAATCAGATGTCAACGGAATATTTTGGAGGGTAAGACTAACTGAGTATTCCATGAATTAAACGCGCGCAGAAGAACGTTCTATTTTGTCTTTATGACGTCGGGCTTTTTAATCGTTCCACGTCGCTAAACGAGTTTAGTCGTGTTGCGCTTGAGAAAGAGAAAAGTCATTCTTGACAAAATGAAAACGTTTTTAATCTACATTATTTTGCTCCTAACAGTGTTAGGAACTTCCACTGCTTCAGGAAATGTCAACGAGGAAGGTAAAACTTGTGTTATTTTCACATGTACTCTCTTCGCGTTATTTTCCTCCATGGCGTAAGCTACAAGCATAAGTGCAGGGCACGCGCGAAGATCGTTATTTTTCCCAGACTAACTTCGCTTTTGCCTAAAAGTTATCAAACTATTGCGCTAACTATTCATTTAAAAGTATTCAGTAAAGCTTGTTAAATTATATTCTTTTAGAATCAAATTTGTCTGGTAGTCGTTAATTTTCTCTTCTTGGCTTCAAACAGTGCAAAAAAACTTTATTTGTTTGGGTGGTTTTGTTTCCTTGGTTACTTGTTTCTAAGGAAACGATTCTCGTGCGCGCGATAGAAGTTTCTCAAAACGTCAAAAAACTTCCGTTAAATTATTTGTTGTTCCTGCAAGTTTAAATAAACTTATCTAAATTCAGAGCTTTGTAAATAGGTTTATCAGTATAATCTAGTGGTAATCATACGCGTAGGATCTTTTAGATTCAAATTGATGTGCAATAGCACTTATACCATTAGAGATAAAATATTTATTGTTCTTTTATTACCTTCAAATGCAGGATTCGATGTTGCTGATGAACCGTTCCAACGACGCTTTACTGTTATTGAAGACTTTGGAAGCAAGAGCGCTTTAATCGAAATCCAACTGACGTCAATTGATATACTTGTATCCGTGACGGTTAACTCAGTCAACAAGTCAGTCAGCAGTTTCACAACAGCTTTTTTGCCTGGAAAAACCTTAACAAATGAAGTAAGTATATAGCAAAGGAAGAAAGTGCAATATAAAAAAAGAGGCAAACGTTACTGTTTTTTACGCGGCGAAAACTGACCCATAATGGCCTCCGCTCCGCTCAGAAGGGGCACCTTTTTCAGGCTTCAGGTGTATGAAAGGGTAGGGATTTCATTAGTTGAAGTTCAAG